GCATTTAAAAATGATGGAAGGGCTGCTCAGGGGGTAGGGGGTTTGCCTTGCATGTGGCCAACCCGGGTTCGATTCCCAGCATCCCATATGGTCCCCCAAGAACCGCAAGGAGTAATTCCTGAGTGCAGAGCCAGGAGTAACCCCTGTGCAAAGCAAAAGATGGATTTTTTTTTTAATCATTAGTAAGTAAGCATGAAAGTGAATTTAAGCTGCATTAAATTTGGTGTAGTCTGACAAAATTATCCACGAGGGACCAGAGGCATGCTCAGTGGGCTGAGTCCATGCTTTGCAGGTGGCAGTCAGGGGCTTAAACTCCAGCACCGTATTTCCGCCCCCCACCCCCACTGCTGGAATAACCCCCCCGAGCATGCCTGGAGTAACTCCTGAGAACCATGGGGTGTGGTCCTCAATTAGCCATGAGTCCTTGATACGAATGATGATAGTCATGAGAAATGATCATAGTTGGGAGCTAGAGAGATAGTACAGTGGGTAGGGTGCTTGTCTTGCGTGCGGATGACCCGGGTTGGATCCGTAACATCCTATATGGTCCCCTGAGCATTGAGCCAGGAATAACCCCTGGGAATCGCTGTGTGTGGCCCAAACCCTCCCCAGCAAATAATAAATAATAAGTGATGATAGCCACAGGAGCAGTGAGCTAACTCGCTGAGCACGTCTGTGGGTGGCTTTTTTCACTCCTGTTGGTTTGAGCCCTGCAGCAGCCAGTTGTAGTGTCACTGTCTCCAGGCAAGGGAGCTGAGGCTGGGGGACCCTCACACGCTCAGGAATCAGCTGGACACGGTCAGCTTTGTTTGGTCATGCATGTAAGAATTCCCAGCCCCCTCTCCAGCACGCTCGTACCCATAGGGCAGGGCCAGGCAGTTCAGTACTCAGGCCCGGCGATGTACTGCTGCTGCCTCCGCCCGGGTCCCGGTCTCACACGGTCCTGCAGGAGGAGCACGAACCCTCGAGCCCTCTCCCGGGTTATTTAGAAATTTGGGAGCTGTGGTACTCTGAAAGAGCCTTGATTATGGCACTTTTTAAAAAAAATCTCAGGGCTAGGACGAAGGAGACGTTACTGGGGCCTGCTCGAGGCAATCGACGAATAACAGGATGGTTGTGATTGATTGATTGTGATTGTGGTACTCACACCCGGCAGTGCTCAGGGGACCACTCGTGGAGGACTGGAGCACGCAAGGGCAGACTGTTGCTTCGGCCCGTCTCTGCTTCCATTCTGTCACCTCTCCTGCCTCTGACCTTCATTCCTTCAGAGACTACAGCACCTTGGGCCTGTGATCCCTTCTGGAAATCCGCAGGGAATGGATCCACGGGCAGTGGCATTTCTAGGCAGAAAAGAATCACAGTTACTCAGCCCCTCGCGTCCTCAATGTTGGTTTACACCCAGATGTGCCAGGGCAGGGGGAGCTCAGCTGATGGGAGCCAAGGGAGACACACGTGGACTGTGTGTGCCACGGCTGGGAGGGAGGGCAGAGTAGTGCCCAAGGAACAAGCGACACGTGGATTGCAGAACCCACCTCCCGAGTCACCTGAAGTGTGGCCATGCCATCGACACCCGGAAGTCACTCAGTTTCAGATGCGCAAAGGAGGCGACGGGTGAGATTTCAGAGGGGGCGATGTCTGCATTGTGTGTGGGTCCCACCCCCACAGCTCCAGAATGTCCCCCGGCACCCCAAGAGGAATGAACCCCAAACGTGGAACCAAGAGAGCCCTGCCACCCCCCAGCATAGGGATATGGGAGTGTGGTCAAAAATCAAAAGCAAAAGTCGCAAAAACGAGGAAACGTCAGCAAGAGGACCGAGTTAGCCGTCTGGGGCGTGAATTATCGTGAAGTCGGGGGACAGAGGTGCAGAGTGCAGTGGGTCTTGTTTGTTTCCGGTTTGGGGGCCATAGCTGGTGATGCTCTGGCGTTTCTCCTGGCTCTGCACTCAGGAAGGACTCCTGGTGGTGCTTGGGGGACCATATGGGATGCGGGGATCGAACCTGGGTCAGCTCTGTGCGAGGCAAACACCCTCCCCGCTGTGCTGTCGCTCCACCCCAGTGGCTCTTGATGAATTTCTGACTTTCCGGCCCAGTTCCTCACCCAATCTTAGACCAGCTCCTGCCTTCTTTTATTTTGATTTTTTTTTTACTTTTTGGGTCACACCCGGTGATACTCAGGGGCTATTCCTGGCTCTGCACTCAGGAATCACTCCTGGCGGTGCTCAGAGGGACCATACGGGATGCCGGGGATGGAGCCCGGGTTGGCCTCTTGCCAGGCAAATGCCCTCCCGGCTGTGCTGTCGCTCTGCCCCTGCTCTCACCTTCTTGCGGTTACTCTGACGAGCTCCACCGGGCCGGGCCTGGCGCCCACGGAGTTGGTGAACACTCAGCATTTTTAATAGTGAACTTGCTCTGTCCGGCCAGTGTGAGAATCTCTGTGGACTTTGGGGGCCGACAGACCGGGTCCATCCATCTCTTGGCCAAATCCTGAAGGCCATCTGCAGAGCAAACAGTCTGTGATGGCTCAGGGTGTGTGTGTGTGTGCGTGTGTGTATGTATGTGTGATGGCTCAGGGTGTGTGTGTGTGTGTGTGTGTGTGTATGTATGTGTGATGGCTCAGGGTGTGTGTGTGTGTGTGTATGTGTGTATGTATGTGTGATGGCTCAGGGTGTGTGTGTGTGTGTATGTATGTGTGATGGCTCAGGGTGTGTGTGTGTGTATGTATGTGTGATGGCTCAGGGTGTGTGTGTGTGTATGTGTGATGGCTCAGGGTGTGTGTGTGTGTGTGTATGTATGTGTGATGGCTCAGGGTGTGTGTGTGTGTATGTATGTGTGATGGCTCAGGGTGTGTGTGGGGTGTGTGTGTATATGTGTGATGGCTCAGGGTGTGTGTGTGTATGTGTATGTATGTGTGTGTGTGTGTATGTGTTTCCGAATAGTGCCTGTCCATTTCCTGTTGGGATGGTTAAACCCCATGTCCTTTTCTCAATGGCCTTTGGAGGGGTTTGACTTCCAGCTAACTGGGGTCTCTGCTTCTTGGTGAATCTGTTGATAAACTGGCGGCTTCCCTGGGTCCAAGCCCCGGCCTACAGCTGTGTGACGTTGCTCTCACTGCCAAACTTCTCTGAGCCCGTTTCTCCATGTCTGAGAGGCAGAAAGCGCCCTGTTGCACTCTGCAGGCAGGTGTGCGTGGGTCTGCCCTGCACGGTCCCAGGCTGACGTGAGCACTGTGCAGGAAGCACATTTCTGCCTGAAATCCTCCTCCTTTCCCGCCCTCCCCTTGGCAGGCGACTGGTCATTGACGAGGCCAGAGGCGAAGCTGCCCAGCGCGGGAGGCTTGGCCGGCTGGCAGGGCCCCTTTCTCACCCCTGGAAGGTGCCGACTTGGGAATCCTGGGAAACCGGGTTGGATCATGGCCCTCGGGGTTTTCTAGCTTCTGGTTCACTGGAGCCCTCAGGGAAAGGGGGAAGACGGGAGGGTCCGTGCCAGCCTCACCCTCGGCGTGGGTCTGAGCGCTCGATGCCTTCTCGGTGGCATTGTGTGCCACGGCGACTTTCATCCTTTGATTTCTCAGGGAGTGGGCACCTGAGGGCCCCCTGGGGACCACGAGCTGTGGGGGGCTGAGCCCGGGGTGCACAGTCCAGCCCTCTGAGCTTCTCCCCAGCCCAGGATTTATTTAACATTTTTTTACATTAAAAAAATTATTTTTGGTGCGGCGGATAGAACCCAGGCCTCTCCCACGCCAGGCAGGGGTGCGAATGCCGAGCCCCTCTGCATCGTGGCTTGTCCCCACTCCCCGGAGGTGCCAGGACTCCTGAACCCTGGAGCCCCCTGTGCTCGGTCACTCGGGCTAATGGAGAGTCCCATGGGCCAGGGAGGGCCAAGAGCTGGTCAAGCTGCGTGTAGCAGGGGTCAGGGCGACTGAGTGCAGGTCAGTCCAGCCTTGCACCTCAGCACCTGGCTGCCTCTGGCCAGATGGGCCTGGGAGGAGGGAGGATGGGAGGAGGGAGGATGGAAGGAAGGAAGGAAGGATGGGAGGAGGGAGGATGGGAGGAGGGAGGATGGGAGGAAGGAAGGGTGGGAGGAGGGAGGATGGGAGGAGGGAGGATGGAAGGAGGGAGGATGGAAGGAAGGAAGGATGGGAGGAGGGAGGATGGAAGGAGGGAGGATGGGAGGAAGGAAGGATGGGAGGAGGGAGGATGGGAGGATGGGAGGAGGGAGGATGGGAGGAAGGGAGGATGGGAGGAGGGAGAATGGGAGGAGGGAGGATGGGAGAAGGGAGGATGGGAGGAGGGAGGAAGGAAGGACGGGAGGAAGGGAAGATGGGAGGAGGGAGGATGGGAGGAGGGAGGAAGGAAGGACGGGAGGAAGGGAAGATGGGAGGAGGGAGGATGGGAGGAGGGGGACTGGGAGGAGGGAGGATGGGAGGAAGGAAGGATGGGAGGAGAGAGGGTAGGAAAGGGGAGGGAGGCCGAGGGGGTGGGAGGAGGGAAGGGGAGGGTGGGGGAGGGAGGGGAGGCAGAGAGGGGTGGCTGTCCTGCATCCCTGGAGGAACTGTGTGTGACATCCACCTCTGCGTGTGTGTGTGCGCGTGTGTAGGTGTGTGAGTGTGTGTGTGTGCGCCCGTGAGTCGGCCATCCAGTGTCAGAAGACAGAGGGGACATTGTTACTTGGAATCCGCAGATCCAGTTTCCCCCCCACCCCCTCCGCAGCTCCGCCGTCCCGGCCCTGGGCTCTTCACTGAGAGGGAATGGGAGACCCCCTCCCGGCCGCTCCATTCGGCTCCCTGTGAGCAAGTCGCAAAGAATCCCAACTATGTGCCCCCCCTCCCGGTTTTCCGAGGGGTCCTCCAGGCCTGCCGGCCAGACCCTTCTCGATGGGGGTGGGGAGTAGTGGGGACAGCGGGCTGTGGGGATGCGGGGGCGGTCAGGGCAGTGGGGTGAGCGGAGGCCGCTGAGGAGAGGGCTGGAGCCTCACCCCGTCCATCTGTCTGTCTGCCCCAGCCTAGCCCCGCTGTGTCGGAACGAAGATGGAGCCGCCGGGGGGCCTGGTGCTGCTGCTGCTGTTCCTGCTGCCCGTGCAGGCCCGCGAGCGCCAGCCGCTGCCCGCCAGGTCCAGCCCGCGAGCCAGGACCAGGCCGGCTCGGACCCACCCGCAGCAGGGCCTCCTGGGTGAGTGACCAGCCGGGCCGTGGGGGGTGGGGGGCGCGGCTCCTGTGGCTCCTCTGGCACCTTCCCCTGTTGAGACAGTCTCAGGGGTCCTGGTGACCCGCTGGCCAGCAGTCTGGGAGACGGGAACGGGGCTGGTGGGCCAGAGATTTCCAGGTTTCGCTCACACACCAGAACACGCTCACACGAGACACTCAGCGCTGAGGGTTCACAAGCCCGAGAGACTTGGATCGCCCTCTGGGAAAGGTGTTTAAGACCGGTACCCTCCTGCCTGTGTGCCAGGGTGCCCCTGCCAGGGGCATTCCCACGGCCTCGCCCCAGCATACAGAGAGCACAGAAGTGAGACAACGGCTCCACACATCTGACCTTTACTGACTCATCCTTGGTCTCTGGTCAGATGTCTGGGCAGTTTGGTCCGTGGCCTTGGGGTGTGGTGTGCTTTTCTTTTCTTTCTTTTTTTTTTCTTTTTGGGTCACACCTGGCGATGCTCAGGGGTTACTCCTGGCTCATGCACTCAGGAATTGCTCCTGGCGGTGCTCGGGGGACCATATGGGGTGCTGGGAATCGAACCTGGGTCGGCCATGTTGGCTGCGTGCAAGGCAAACGCCCTACCCGCTGTGCTATCGCTCCAGCCCCTCTTTTCTTTCTTTTTTTCTTTCTTCTTTTTGTTCATACCCAACGATGCACAGGGGTTACTCCTGGCTCATGCTCTCAGGAACTACTCCTGGTGGTGCTCGGGGGACCCTATGGGATGCTGGGAATCGAACCTGGGTCGGCTGCGTGCAAGGCAAACGCCCTACCCGCTGTGCTATCGCTCCAGCCCTTCGTGTGCTTTTCTTACTAGGTTGTAAACTCACGGCACCAAATGGAGCCTTGCTTTTCCAAACGGAGTGACAGTGACTCTTCCATGGGATGTTGGCCCCTCATCCTACCCACCTGGGTTCTGTCCCCAGCACTGCACAGGGTGCCTCGAACACCCTCAGAGTGATCTCTGAGCTCAGAGCCAGGAGTAGGCAATCAGCACCGCCCTAAGGATGCTGGGAGCAGGGTGTGCCCTGATGCAGTGAGCCAATTTTGTTCAGGGGGAGGGAAAGTCGCGCTAAGCAGGGAGGGATGGCTGCTGGCCCCGGGTGGTGGGGACGCCTTGGAGGGCTGCTGCCCCAGGAGTGGCAGGCATTGGCCCCGTTTCCTGAACCTCTCAGGGCACACTGCCCTGTCTGTGCCAGGGGGCCCTGGGGTCGGCCATGCTGGAGGACTTAGGGAGATGCAGCTTCCTTCATAGCTCTGCGTCACAGAGGTGCTCTTGCGCCGAAGCGGCTGAAAACTGGCCTCTGACCAGGTCCAGGGAGAACAATCCGTGCGTCTATGTGGTGTGTGTGTGTGTGTGTGTGTGCGTGTGTGTGTGTGAATGGGAGTCCACTAAGTATGTATCTGCATGTCGGTGTGAAGTGTGTATGTGTGTATGGTGGGGGTGTCTGTATCACAGATTTTAGTTGAATTTGCACACCTGCTCACAGCAGTGGTGTGCACTTAGCGTGGTGCTCCTGTGCATTTTACACGGTGTTTTCTGTGCACTCAGCGTGAGGCTCCCATGCCTGTATTATGTAGGGGTAGAACCTGGGTCGGCCGCGTGCAAGGCAAGTGCCCGACCTGCTGTGCTGTCATTCCAGCCTCGGGTCACCTTTGCTTTTTAAAAATGTCTGCGTAGGGGCAGGTGAGCTCAGAGCTTGGAGCACTGCTTGGCTTGCAGGAAGCCGGGTTTGATCGCTGATGGTCGTCCATTACTGCAGGGAACGAACCCGGAGCACAGAGCCGGGAGCAGCCCCTGAGCACTGCCAGGTGTGGTTCCAAAACCCCCAGATAAATATCTACATACATGGAAAAGTTCACGGTCAAGTATTTCGTGACTATGACCTGCTGAGGACAGAAGGAGAGTCCGTTGAGAATCGCCTCCGCGGTCAACCTACAAACGTGGCAGGTGTTTTTGCTAGGGAACATTCCAGAAGATCCACGTCGCCGGTCAGTTGCTAGAGCCTCTTTAACCAAGGGCCGAGTTCTCCTCGCCCCGGGGACTGGCGATCTTGGATGCAGGCTGCAGGTGGCCCCCCTTTGCTGTGGACTCCCTCCTTCCCTCCCCCGCTCCATCCGCCGGCTTCCTGCAGACCCTGACACCCCCCATCACCTCTTCTCCAGGCCTGTTCGATCGGCCCTCTCCCCCACGACCTCCTCAAGGACCTCGCATTTTATTTATTTATTTTTCTTTTTTGTGGTACCGTGCCTGGAGTGATAGCACAGCAGTAGGGCGTTTGCCTTGCACGCAGCCAGCCCGGCCAAGCTGGGTTCGATTCCTCCACCCCTCTCGGAGAGCCCGGCAAGCTACCGAGAGTATCTCGCCCGCACGGCAGAGCCTGGCAAGCTCCCCGTGACGTATTCGATATGCCAGACACAGTAACAAGAAGTCTCACAAGAGAGACGTTACTGGGCCCGCTCGAGCAAATCGATGAACATCGGGAGGACAGTGTTTATGGTGCTGTGCCAGGAATGCAATCCGGGGCCCCGTTGCTCTACCTCTGAGCTCCTGGCCCAGCCCTGACCTCGCTGGACCCTCACGGCCTCTGTAAAGATGCTGTAGCCACATTCCGAGGTCCAGGGACTTAGGGCTTCACCTGTGAGCTTGGGGAAGGGGTGCCTGAAGCTGGTGGCTCCTGCTTTCCCCCTTAGGAACCAACGTGGCAGTTCTTCGCCGGGAGGTTTCCCTCATGCAGACACAGTGCCTGGGATGCCCCTCCTCAGTGTGGCTCTCGCTCCTTCCCCGAGACCCCCGGGAAGGATTTTCCCAGGCTTCAGTCCTGCCCTCAGCTAGAAGCCCACTGGTGCTCCCCAGGGGACCCGGCTCTCTGGAGACACAGGCAGGAGGGAGAGCCAGGAGAGCACTTGGCGCTTGGCTGCTCCCTGCACCCGGGGGCTGGAAGGGGCCGAGAGATGACGGCCCCTCGCGGGTCAGTGATGAGCACTTCACAGGGGAAGCCGACAGCCAGATGCAGGGGAGGGGTCTGCAGAAAAACAGAGGAGCAGAAGCAGCTGACGCCCGCCCGGGGCGCAGAGCCAGGAGAGCCGGCAGAGGCGGGATTCTGTGCTGGTGGGGGCTGGGCGTCTGGCGGGGGGCCCGGGTGAGGGGCCCACGTTGGACTGTGCAGTGAACGCGCGGGAGTGTCCGGAGGGCTGAGAGCTGGCCGGCCTCCAGCGCCTGCTTCCCATCCTGGCTCTGTTTCCCCAACCCCAGACAGGGCAACCCCTTACATCTTTATTATTTTTTAAAATTTATTTTTATTTTTTTGCTTTTTTTGGGGGGGGGTCACACCCGGCAATGCTCAGGGGTTACTCCTGGCTCATGCATTCAGGAACTACTCCTGGCGGTGCTTGGGGGACCGTATGGGATGCCGGGGTTTGAAGCCCTCAGCCGCGTGCAAGGCAAATGCCCTCCCTGCCGGACTATGGCTCCGGCCCCCTTTATTTTACTTGTATTGAATCCCTGTGGTGTATACCGATGCTTACGATTGCATTTCAGTCCTCCAATGTTCCAGCGCCAGCCTCTTCCCCAGTGTCCACTCCCTCCACCAGTGTCCCCAGTGTCCCGCCTGCCTCTGAGGCCAGCACTCTCCCCTCCCCTCCACCCTTGCCTGTGGTCACACCTGGTGGTTCTCAGGGGTTGCTCCTGGCCTCTGTGCTCCGGGATCCCTTCTTGGTGGGGTTCAGGCCCCCTATATAGTGCTGGGGATCGAACCCAGGTTGGCCACATGCCGGGAAGCACCCTGACCGTCGTCCTCAAGTTTCCTTTTACTCTTTAAAATGTGCATTTCCCGCCCCCAGGGACCTGAAGGTGCCTCCTGGCCTCCACCCTTAGAGCAGATGCGTTACTGGAGGAGCGGGGGAGGGGGGCGGCCAGGCGGCCGGGCAGTGCCAGGGAGGCCGGGCGGCTGTTGCCTGTTGTGCTCAGTATCTGAGGCACAAGGGTGACTATTTGTGGAACATCCTAGAAACCAGTCACCACAGCTGTGTGGATCTCTTGGTGGTGCCTGCCGGTTTCCATAGCAACCCCGGCCCGGGCGCCTGGCAGAGCCGAGCAGGTGATGGCAGCCCGGCGGTGAGGGCGCGTCGCCGGCTAGCTTCTTTCCCCCGTGTCACAGCATTTCGGGGACGGAAGCCAGCAGCCAAGTGCAGCGGGAAGTTCTGACTCAGATGCAGCAGGACCGAGGGGCGAGTTTCCAGGCGAGGTGGGGTGGGGACGCCTGTGAGGGAGGGCCTGGCGGGCGAGCTCAGCGCCAGTGGGTGACCACTGACAGGGCAGCAAGGACGGGGCAGGGGGCCTGGGCCTCTCTGGGGCTGTATGTGGGGGACAGGTCAGTTGTCTTTGGTTTGAAGGCACACCTGGCCACACTCAGGGGCTGCCCCCTCCTAAGGGCTCAGGTGCTTAATGCTTAGTGCCTGGGGACCGTGGTGTGCTGGGAATCAAGCCCAGCTCTCTCATATGTGCTCCTTGGGGTTCTGGAGACAAGCCCAGTTCTCTCACAAGTGCCCCATGCAGTTCTGCGGATCAAGCCCAGACCTCTCACTTCATGCAGTTCCAGGGATTAGCTCAGATCTCTCACAGATGCTTCATGAAGCTCCAGGAATAGCCCAGATTTCTCACAGAGGCTTCATGCAGTTCTGGGGATTAGCCCAGACCTCGCACGTGTGTGTGCCCCACGCGGTTCCGAGCACTAGCCCAGCTCTCTCACGTGCGCTCATGCGGTCCCAGGCGTCACCCAGACCTCTCACGTGTGCTCAGTACTTTGACCAATCTCCTGGTCCTCAGAGCACCGTCGTGTGGTGTATCGACAGCATTTGTTCCCTGATCGTTTAAATACATGAGCCCCAGGTTGGGGCCTCGGAGGGGAAGGAGGGGGCCAGGCCTGGGGTGCTGGCTTCGGGTGGCCCCCCTGGGACCCTCAGTCCGGCCCCGC